CCTGGCTATAAAGCAAATTGTGTTCCTGGGCTGAAGAAACTCCAAGGAGGCTAGTCGCTAGGGAGAGGAAGCCAGATGTTGCTACGTGACATCATTACCCGGCACCCACAGCCACCATTTCTGGGCTGGGCTGGACTGTGGGTTGCATTTTGCAGCATGGGGTCTCATTAGCATTGGCTGTGATTTGGTGGGCTGTTGCTCTGGGGTGGTTGTGGGGCCTGTGTCCCACTTCGGGGAAGCCAAGTGTTGCTTTGTGGGCACCAGGTCTGCAGTGTCATTCCTCTGTAAATGACCAGTGCGCATCACGGCAGCTTCTGCATTGAGTGTCTGCCCCCTGGTGGTCAGTGCATGTCATAGTGCCCAGTCGGACAATCACTTAGCATGTTAGCATTTTATATATATAGACTAGAGGCCTGATGCACAAAATTCTTGCAAGTGTAGGCCTTCCTTCCCCTGGCTGCTGGCACTGGTTTCCCTCTGGCACCTGGGACCCAGGCTTCCCTTTGGCAGGCATGCAGGACCCAGGCTTTCCTCGCATCCCCGACTTTGTCCAGAGGTTGTCTGGAAGGATGTCTGGTCTAATTAGCATATTATGCTTTTATTATTGTAGATAGCTTTTCACCACTCTTCATCAAGCTCCAATTTGAACCTACATTAAGAATGTGGATTTGGAATCTAAATGTTAAAAAATTTTAAGTCTACATGACTTGAAGTAGGAGGACACAGTGTAGGTTGAATACACATTATTTTTTATAATAAAATTATAGAAATTTTTATTTTTAAGACATGAATAACATTTTATAAAGTTATTTGAAGGAATAGGTAATTGGAGATTGTTTCTATTTAGAACAGTAAAGAGGTAAGAACAGAGTTAAAGGCATATGACCACTGATTTTCTGTTTTTGTAAGCATATAAATTACCTTGCTCTTCTGATTCTAGTTTCTTCTCTTGCAAACTTCCTGATAGAATAAAGTCTAAAGTTTATTTTTCTAAGGAAAATTCAGTTCTAATTGATTGATATGCTCCTGTGAATGTACTCAGATGTTTTTAGTAAATTTAGACCATATTCTGCAAAATGATATCATCTACACTAATAAAACAGAAAATGGTAATTGGCGTACAACGCTACTCTTTTCATTGGCTAGTCAGGGCTATATGCAAACTGACTGCCAACTCAGATGGCAGTTAACTGACAACAAAGATGGCGGTTAATTTGCATATGTAGCCACAATGCAGGGAGGCGAAAGGGAAAGCAGGAAGAAGCCCCCTGCCACTGACAGTGATCGTAAACCCAGTGGGGAGCTAAGATCTGGGGGGCAGGGCAAAGGCGGCCCTGGCAGCAAAGGCGCCTTTGCCCTGCCCCCCAGCCATGATCAGAGAATGGGGAGCCTTTGCTGCCCTGGCCG